ATTGATTGACACACAGTATAGGCACTTTACATCCACAAATCTTGTGGATCCTCATAGCCAATCTTTGAAATAATACACTTTTTGTTAAATAAAACCGTATTTTATTAATGAAGAAATGGAACCAGTTGTGCAAGTTTGCACAGCTGATAAGCAGGCGAGCCAGAACCTAGCCCCTAGTTGTTTGAATCAGTGCCCTCTTTCTAAACACTTACAGCCATGCTGTGTCCTTTAAGATCTATTTCTAATCTAAAACCTTTCTTTCTGTGAAACTTCTTTTATCCTTCTTTTCTTCTTCAGTTCAGTTGCTCAGTCGTGTCCAGCTCTTTGCGACCCATGAATCGCAGCACACCAGGCCTCTCTGTCCATCACCAACTCCCTGAGTTTACTCAAACACATGTCCATCGAGTTGGTGATGCCATCCAGCCATCTCATCCTCTGTCGTTCCCTTCTCCTCCTGACCCCCAATCCCTCCCAGGATCAGGGTCTTTTCCAATGAGTCAATTCTTCGCATGAGGTGGCCAAAGTATTGGAGTTTCAGCTTCAGTGTCAGTCCTTCCAATCAACACCCAGGACTGATCTCCTTTAGGATGGACTGGTTGGATCTCCTTGCAGTCCAAGGGACTCTCAAGAGTCTTCTCCAACACCACAGTTCAAAAGCATCAATTTTTTGGTGCTCTGCTTTCTTCTCAGTCCAACTCTCATGTCCATACATGACCACTGGAAAAACCATAGCCTTGACTAGATGGACCTTTTTGGAACAGTAATGTCTCTGCTTTTTAGCAACTATATTCCAATAAAAATGAAAAAAAAAAAAAAACTACAAAAAGTTACTTGTAAAACAAAAATAAATATTGGTTGGGTGCCTCACTTGTGCAAAGTGTGGGAGAGATAAGATTTTAATAATTCTGCCTTTAGAGTGCCTGTAAGATGAGGCAAAAACAATGCTGCTTTTGCTTTTTAATGTTTCATGCAATTAAACATCCATTGATCTTTATCATTGCAAGGAGGGAAAAGAAAACTACCAGGGACAACAAAATGAGTACTAAGTGGGACATATGACAGAACAGTCTTGGTAATGGTTTCAGAAAAGAAGTTATCTAAGATGAAAGTATTAAGTAGCTTGCTACTAAAAAAAAAGTACTGTTCACTTACTCTGCATCTTGATTTTTTTAAATGATAATGTATAGAGAAATACTTCATTATTTTTATTAGTGACACACTGTTGCCAAATTTATTCAGAAGTACTTTTACTAGGGCAAATACTCTTTTGATATATTGATAATTTTCAAGATGGTGTCCCCAATTCACACTTTCATCAGCAATTCATGAGGATGCCTGTTTCCTACAAAATAGCCACCACTAGGTGTTATCGAAGTTTTCCAATTTAGTGGTTGAGTATCATATTTCATCAGTTGTCCATTTTAAACTGAGTTATTTGATTTCTTTTTTGTCTGTGCTGGGTCTTCGTTGCTATGCACAGGCTTTCTCTAGTTGCGGGGGCTCCTCTTGTTGCAGACCGCAGGCTTCAGTAGTTGTGGCACATGGGTTTAGTTGCTTGGCAGCATGTGGGATCTTCCTGGACCAGGGATTGAACCCATGTGCCCTGCATGGGCAGGCAGATCCTTATCCACTGTTAGCACCAGGGAAGTCGTTTTTCTCATTTTTTTGTGAGAATTGTATTTTGGTAGTTTGTCTTACATTTTGCAAGTATTTTTCTCATTATTATTATTTTATCTTTCTGTATATATATATATATATATATATACACACACACACACATATTAACGTTTGACTTGCTAATGATTGTTTTTGCTACATACAGTTTTTTTTTCTGGTTAAGTTTCTGTCAAGTTTTTCCTTTTTATGGCTTCTGAATTTATTGTCTTGCTGTTTTTTTTAAAGCAACTTCTTTTATTCTGAATATTAACACCTCTGGTAGAAGTAATTAGTATATGTTTAATATGCAGAAGAAACACATTAGCTTTTATTTTACATTTTAATTAAAACACTAATTATCTTTTTAGTAAGTTTTTTTAATGCCTAAGTAAGTTTATCAAATATACTTTTATGCCTAAACAGTTTATTATGGTCTCTGACAGTTTGCGCTTTTCAGAAGGAAAGCTAATTTGTACCTTTTCTTCCTCAGTGGAGAGAGATTTTGTTCTTTCAGATAGTTTCAAAAATTTCTTTATGATATGGTTTGGATTTAAAACACCGTTCAAAAAAAGACAGTTGTATCTTTTACATTTTCTTCACTTGGAAAGACCTTGTAGAATTCACTGTTATCTATTACTCTTCGAGAAAAAGTAGTTTTTTTTTTTCTTTAATAGCTATATTTAGCAACAGGCTCTTGTAAATCTCAATGTTCTTTTTCAGTATTCAACAGGAGTTGATGGCAGGTTAGTGAAGGGCAAAAAAAAAAAACCCAAAAACAAAACCCTCTCTCCTTTTACCTAATAAAAGAGAAGTTAATCCAAATTTTGTATTCTGGCTTTAAGTATAAAATTCAGGAAAATGTGGAAAATATCATAAAAATTAGAAGCAGGAACGATTATATCTGTCCGGACAATTCAGTCTTTAAGGTCCAGCTTAACTGCATTTCTTTTAAGGTGCCAAGATCTAAAGGGGGTTGTACTTTTCATTGTGTATTATCTATAATATTTCAGTATCTGTTGTCTGTAATATTTCTACTGTCTTTAGTGAACTTGATGTTCACCTGAAGTAGTGAAAAATCCCTAGAGACATGAGCTTGTGTGCATGTTTTCCCCTCACTGCTTCAGCTGCATTCTAGCCTCTTCTCCATATTCAGGTTTCCGTCTTCTGCTGGTATACAGAGGGTTCCTGGCTGCTGAGTGGAGACCAGGTTGAGATTCCCCAAGTGTCTCTCTTGCCTCTCAGTGAAGAAGGGTGCGTGTCCCTTCCTCCATGTTGCCCTGGCACAGGAGCAGGTCTAGTCTAAGAAGCAAAGGCTGGAAGGGTTTGTTGACGTGAGGAGTTTGAATTCCTAAAGTTGAAATGAATGGGGTGGTTGTCGGGACCAGAGAGGAGAGGAGTAAAGAAGTTGAACCACAAATTAAATCTTGGCCAAGAGATACAATTCAGTCCTTGGAAAACAAACAAAATTTGACTTATGGGAATTGCCACCATTGAAATTTGTATTTGTGTTCATCTGTAAAATCATATTTCATCTATTCTAATATGCACATTTTCTTTTCACGTTTTTTATTTTTTATTTTTTTTCAGAATATAGATGATGTTTTTTTTTTTTTTTTCCATTTATTTTCATTAGTTGGAGGCTAATCACCTTACAACATTGCAGTGGTTTTTGTCATACATTGAAATGAATTAGCCATGGATTTACATGTATTCCCCATCCCGGTCCCCCCTCCCACCTCCCTCTCCACCCGATCCCTCTGGGTCTTCCCAGTGCACCAGGCCTGAGCACTTGTCTCATGCATTCACGTTTTTTTTTAAAGGCTGCTCCCCACGGCTGACAGGATCTTAGTTCCTTGACCAGGAATTGAACCTGGGTCACAGCAGTGGAAGCACTGAGTCCTCACCCCTGGACTGCCAGGGAGTTCACTTCTTTTCACATTTTAGCATCTGCAAAGTGGGACCTCATTTTAAAATTAATGATTTGTCATAATTTAATTGGCCACATCTTTTGCTTAGCAGTACAAATGAAGCTATGTTATACAATCAAGGGCACCTTTAATCCGATGAAGTGGAACAGCTTTTGCTCTAGAGCTACATAAAAGTAGCTTACATGGCTTACATAAAAGTTTGTGATCTTAGTCCTCGACTGTTAACAGGCAGGATCTAAGTTCTTCATGGTAAAATGTATTTGGATTGCCGGGTCTTTGCTTCTCATTTCACTGTCAATTTAATGACGGTTTAGAGCCTGAAAAGCGCAGTCCATGAGCTGTGGCCCAGGCTCACATCAAAGCGCGTTTCACTGGCACACACAGGAGTGGACTGAATCGAGGGCAGTGTTGGGCCGTGTAATTGATGACACCTGCCTGCTTTTTTGTCAGGACGCTTTGGAGCTTTGAAATTCTGGGTAGGTTCTGTGGACTGTCAGGATCCCTAAGTATTGTTTAAACCACCAGCTGTCTTTTGTTCATAAGTACTTGAAAACCCATCTCCTGCTGCCACAGCAGTGATCATTCTCCAGGGAACACCTGCTGCTGCTTTTGGACAGTGGTATAGCTTTACATCCTTCATTCATGTTTTCCTGAGTACTTTTTGCTAGAACCTGATTTGCTCAAGCTTAAGAGCAGAACATTTAACACATTTTTGTTGTGTGCACTGTGGAGTTTGCCAGGTTGTAAATGTTTTTTGAGTAGCAATCATTAACACAGCATATAGTGGCTCTCTTTCTGAAAAACATGACATTTGTATTGGTGATATTCAAAAGGTGAAATAAGAACTTCCCTGGGGTCCACTGGTTAAGATTCCATGCTCCCACTGCAAGGGGCTCAGGTTCAATCCCTGGGCAGGGAACTAGATCCCACATGCCACAGCTAGCACAGTCAAGTAAATATTTAAAAAAGAATGAAACAAATTGTGGTGGATGCTACCTGTGTCATATTTAATACATCAAATTAGAAACTTTGAGTGTATTCTTAAAATTTTTCTGTTTGAGCATGTTTGTGGTTTATTATTATTTTTGTGTGTGGACAAAAATCTTACTGTTTTGAGTTATGCTTCCCAGACCAGAAGAAAGGTCTAGTCATAGGTTTATTAGCTTTTGGCATTTTTTCATCTTTTTATGAATTTCTGTTATAATACCTATTTTCTGTGAATCATGGTTTAATTTGTAAGAACTCTCTTTATATTGATATTTGGAATACTGATCACTTGTCGTGTGTGAGTTACATATAGCTTCTCCCCGGCTGCATGTGTCTTTTTGTGTATGGCATCTCTTATGTAGTTTGCTCTGCAGTAGTTTTTGTGGGCTGTTTAAAAACTAAGCATCTTTTTGTTCCTGCAGGAGGACCATGTCACTAGACTTTGGCAATGTGGCCCTGCAGACACAAAATGAAGATGAAGAATTTGACAAAGAAGACTATGAAAGGGAGAAAGAGGTAAGTTATTCAGAAGAAGAATTCTAAGCCCAATCTTAAACAATTTTATATTCTAACCAAAATTATATCATTTTATGTCATTTCAAAGGTCTTTTCCCCTACCCTGAAACTTGATCGGCATTTTAAATGGTAGATGAGTGGAAGGCTTCCTTTTTTTGAGACAAGAATAAAACAACTGTGTATGATGCCATCAGTTAAATGGTTAGATTCTTTAAGATCTTTTCATTTAGGAGCTAGTGGTTGATCTTGGAGGCACAGATATACTTGCTTGGGCAAGTCAGTAAGATTCTTTGCCTCAGGTATTTCACATCCTAGTGGAGTCAGATAATAAACAAGCAAATAAAGTAATTTGTGTGAGTGATAATTTAGCACTGATAAATGATAGGGAAACAAAATATAGTGATATTAAGGCAACCGGCTGGGAACTGGTTGGGGAAGGTCCCTTGGAGGAGGAAATGTTTGAGCTGAGCCTTGAGTCATGAGATGAAGCAGAGATACCGAAGCTCAAAAGGAGTACTCTAGGCCAAGATATAAGTGTTAAGCCTGGAAATTGAGAAGAGAGACCTCCATATCTGTGAAATAGCCAGAAGGCTGTGGTGTTGGGATTGTGTGAGCAAGGGGTTAGTGGTGGAGGCAGGTGAAGAGGTGCCAGATCATGGGATGTCATGGGAAGATGTTTGTAGTTTTTTCAGACGTGGTGGGAAGCCAGTGGAGGATTTTAAGCAGGGAAGTGATGTCCGATTATATATTTGAAAGATCTTTCTGAATGCTCTGTTGGGTGAATAGATTTAAGGAGAAAAGGAGTAAGTGTGTTTAGTGGAATTCTTGGCCCGGTAGTAATAGTAATAGCTGGTGGGAATCAGTTTGATTGTGATGGTTGTTTTTAGTTTAAGTCAGATTTCTTGATTGGCTATAATAACAGGTTTTTGTACTGAATGTTGATATGAGCCATTTTCTTTCTTTCTTTCAAGTGTTTTTTTAAATTTTTTATTCATTATAGTTGACTTACAATGTTGTGTTAGTTTCAGGTGTATAGCAAAGTGATTGGTTTCTCTTTTTAGATACTTAGATTCTTTTTTCATTGTAGGTTATTATAAGATATTGAGTATAGTTCCCTGTGTTATTCAAGAGGCCCCTGTTTGGTGATTGCTTTTGCATATAGTAGTGTATATATGTTAATCCCAAACTCCTCATTCATTCCTCTTCACCTTTCCCCTTTGGTAAACATAAGTTTGTTTTCTATGTCTGTGGGTCTATTTCTGTTTTGTAAATTCCTTTGTATCATTTTTTTAGCTTCCACATATAAGCAATATTATATTTGTCTTTTACCATCTGACTTGCATCACTTAGTATGATAATCTCTAGGTCCATCCATGTTGTTGCAAATGGCATTGTTTCATTCTTTTTTATGGCCAATATTCCATTGTGTATATATACCATTGTGTAAATCTTCTTTAACCATTCATCTGTCAGTGGACACTTAGATTGCTTCCATGATATGACCCATTTCCCAATATGTAAAATAATAATTTTTAGTAGTTACCATGGACCATTTGTATTAATCGGAAGCAATGAATGGGGTCAGTTGCCCGCATGGCTGGCAATAGCATTAGGGTAGAGTTGAAGCTGGCAGCTTGGTGGATTTTGTCTATAGACATGTATTGTTTGTTTGCACAGTGTTTTTGAAAAATTGAATCTAAATTTAAAGATTGGAAAATTCCATGCAGCAGTCCAGAGAATCTGGCCTGTCTTGAAATAGGCTGCATGTGGCCTGTGTCTGCACATAGTCGTAGGTGGGCTGGAGCTGAGCAGTGGCTCTCCCATTCCAGCTGGCCGTGGTGCCCCCACCCCAACCCCCAAACAAAACAAAACAAAACATGGACTTGTGTCCTTGAACCCACTAGCTTCACTCTTGTAAATTCTCTGCCAAGTCACCGAGGGCATTGGAGTTTGTGACCCTTGCCAGGGTTTCCAGATTTTGATAGGGGTCTTCACAACGATTGTTGTGGCAGAGATGGGGTTGAGGGTTTTCTGTTACTTTTTAAACTCACAGCATGAGGTTTTCATGACCCTGATGGCCTTGGGTAGTTCATTGGAATTTAGCTACTGGGGTTCTTGAGAGGATCAGTTTGAGTAATTATTATACTAGACTTTAAAGAAGAGAAAAAATAATCCTGACAGGTGATTTTTTTCATCAGAACTTACTACCAGGTGTATTGTGTGGTGAAAGTTTTAAACACTGTACTGATTAAGGAGACAGTTAATTCTAGATGATATAGAAGATAGCCATTGGGATCATTCTTTGATAGATTATGTGCTGGAGTAGGGAATTTCCAGAGGAAAAGATGATCTTAAGAGGTTAAGTATTTGAGAGTGATTGTTTCTAGCACAGTAGAAGAAAAAAGCTAGTTAACTTTGACTCTAACTTGATTACTATGGATAATAAATGTTATCCATATGTTAATGAATATTAAATGTTATCTAAATGTTAATAAAAAGTGTTTCATATTTATTAATAAGTATTTTACCTTTTTAAAAAATAGCTGCTAGGGAAGAAGTGAGATCAGAGGTTAGAATTTCAGCAATAAAATTTAGAATTTTTGTAAAAATTTAGCCATATATATATTTTGTCATTAGTTGGTCAGTTTAGTCATTCATTCATGTCCGACTCTTTGTGACCCCATGGACTACTGCACGCCAGGCTTTCCTGTCTCTCTCCAGCTCCCAGAGCCTACTCAAACTCATGTCCATCGTGTCGGTAATGCCATCCAGCCATATCATCCTCTGTCGTCCCCTTCTCCTCCTGCCCTCAATCTTTCCCAGCATCAGGGTCTTTTCCAATGAGTCAGTTCTTCGCATCAGGTGGCCAAAGTATTGAAGTTTCAGCTTTAGCATCAGTCCTTCCAATGAATATTCAGGACTGATTTCCTTTAGGATGGACTGGTTGGATCTCCTTGCAGTCCAAGGGACTCTCAAGAGTCTTCTCCAACACCACAGTTCAAAAGCATCAGTTCTTCGGCACTCAGCTTTCTTTATAGTCCAACTCTCACATCCATACATGAGTACTTGGAAAACCATAACTTTGACTAGATGGACCTTTGCTGGTGAAGTAATGTTTCTGCTTTTTAATATGCTCTCTAGGTTTGTCATAGCTTTTCTTTCAAGGAGTAAGTGTCTTTTAATTTCATGGCTGCAGTTACCATCTTCAGTGATTTTGGAGCCCCCCAAAATAAAGTCTGTTACTGTTCCTATTGTTTCCCTATCTATTTGCCATCAAGTGATGGGACCAGATGCCATGATCTTAGTTTTCTGAATGTTGAGTTTTAAGCCAACTTTTTCACTCTCCTCTTTCACTTTACTTAGAGGCTCTTTAGTTCTTTGCTTTCTACCATAAGGGTGGTGTCATCTGCATATCTGCTGCTGCTAAGTCGCTTCAGTTGTGTCTGACTCTGTGCGACCCCATAGACGGCAGCCCACCAGGCTCCCCCGTCCCGGGGATTCTCCAGGCAGGAACACAAGTAGGTTCTGTGTATCTGATGTTATTGATATTTCTCCCGGCAATCTTGATTCCAGCTTTGTCATGGCAAGTTAAAAAATAATAAATCACCTGATCAAACCTAAGTTCATTTTCATATCCAGGTACCTTTCCACCTCCTCAGTCTCCCTGACCCTACAGTAGCAGAATAGTTTAGAGTCTTAAGAAGTTAAAAAAAAGAAAATAATCTTTTCATGCCTGCCTGGTTGGGATTGCTTTGGGATTGCCAGGCAGATTAGAGTGTTAGTAGTGGGCTTCCCAGGGCTGCCTGCCAATGCAGGATATGCAGGTTTGATCCCTGGGTTAGGAAGATTCCCTGAAGGGGGAAATGGCAATCCACTCCAGTGTCCTTGCCTGGAAAATCCCATGGACAGAGGAGTCTGGCGGGCTACAGTCCATGAGGCCGCGAGGAGTCAGGCGTGGCTGAGCAGCACACACACATACACACACGGCTAATGCACATTGCTTTCTCTACTTAATGAATCACTTTGTATTCAGTTCATTTGTGTAGGGAGATTGCTTACATTCCCAAAGATGTCCCAAGCAGGCCATATCTGTCTCATGGGCCACTTTGCTAAGGAGATTTTGCTTGTGAGATTTCCCTCTCTGTAAATGGCACAATAACCACTTAGAGATTCTGACCGTCTCGTATGAATGGCCAGTTGCTGATACAACATGCTTTACCAAGCTGTTTGGTTTTGACACTTTGGGATCAGCTGGGATTTTGTCCACACTTGCCCATAAGTCAGTGAATAAGTCATAGTCAACTTCCAGCCTCCATGCCATCCTCATTAGCACCTCTACAGTGATGATTTGGACTTTCCTGTTTCTATTCCCTCCCTTGTTTGCATGGAAGAGTAAATGGAGAAAGTGCATTTAATCTTTGGAAAAGGAAAGAGTTTAATAAAGTGATTTCAGTATTCAGAGGACAGTTGGACCAGTGGAATCTCAAGACACAGACCACCACAGATCCATATTTTGGAAAAAAAAAAAACTCCAAGAATTTTTCAGAAAAGTAAAGCACTATAATCATCTCTAAATCGCCAAAGTTCTGAATGGTATATTGGCAAAAGTTTGGCCATTGTGTTCCAAGGCATAGCAGACAAGTGTATAACCCACAGCCTCACCAGGGTTTCACTGGAAACTCCACCTCTTATACAGTGAATAGAGTGGATTAGAGTACAGGTGAGGGAGGGTGAGAATATGATGGAGCTATGCTATCATGTCAGTTAATGCTCATATCATTCTTTCCTCACAACTTATTGGAGTTCACTACTTTGAGAACTACCGACGTAGTTGTCCTTCTTGCTACTAAGTAGACCTCATTCAAAGTATTCTAGGCAAACTTTTACATGTAAAGCTGGTCCAGAGAAGAGGAATTCAAAAACTCTTTTGTTAACTCATTCATAATGTAACATAATATAACTGACTCAACTGACATGTGTTTGAGCAACCTCTGGGAGAT